TACCAATAGATAGATGGATAAATGAGTGAATTGACTTATGAGCAAAAAAAAACAGTTGAACGTTTTTTAAAAACGAATTGATTTCATCATCTTTGTAATCTTCATTTTCATCATCTTTTTCCTCTTCTTCTTCACTTTCATCATATGCCATCACCATTTTTTTGTGGTCATTTTGCCGGCCAGCATCAGACTCACTGTAACATATCCCTGATATTATCGTTTGACCGTATCTTACGATCAGTGTTTAAAACCCTTTAATTTATGCAACTGGGCTGGACTGACAGGCCATCTCATTAGCATATTTATGGGATTTTTGTTACTGCTATTTATAGCCTCACACCCCGCATTTGCATATTCTTGCTGTTTTTATTATTGCTATTCATAACTGACCTCCACGCCCCATAAGTTTAATGGCCTTCAAACCCTTATCAACCGGTTTTTTATTCGTTTTTATTCGTTTTTTCTTTCATTCGTTGGTTTCTTTATCTAATTTGTTTATTCATTCAACTTTATTCATTCATTCATTTATTCATTTATTTATTTATTTATTTATTCATTCATTCATTCATTTATTCATTAATTATTAAAGAAAAACTTTGGTTCGGTCTTTCATTCACTAACTCATTCGTTGATTGATCGATTGATTGATTAATTGATTGATTGATTAATTGATAGATAAAAAGATTGATTCATTGATTGATTCATTCAATTACTTCTTTGTTTGAAATTCATCCATTCATGCATCTCTTAATCAGCGAAAAAGCATTTGTGGTAGTCACGGTGAGTTTGTTGGTCCATGGTTATTGCGTTAGGGCGGTTCTGAGAAAAAAAAAGAATATATGAATGGATGAATGAATGAATGAATGAATGAATGAATGAATGAATGAATGAATGAGTGAATAAATGAACAAACGAATGAAAAAGTAAATAGACAATGAAAGAATTCAAAGTTTCTCGAGAGAATTTCAAAATATTTTTTAAAAATTTTGTGAAATTTGTTTGCGAATGCATTGAATAGAGAAACAAATAAGCAACAAAAGAAAAAAATAAACACACATACACACGTGTACACACACGTACACACACACAAACGCAGACATACATAGGATGATATACACAAAGGGAAAGCGTTACATCTAATTTGATTATAAGACGCTCGCCACATAGTTGCACCATTTTTTTCAATACATCCGCTTAAATTATGTAGGTATATGCTTACATTTTTACTTGTGTATGCGTATGTATGTGTGTGTATGTGTGCTTGTGTGTGTGTGTTTGCGTGTGTGTGTGTGTATGTTGTTTTCCATGCTGCTTTCAACGTAGCGTGCCTCAGTGTATTTTCATATCATCGGTACGAGTGTTTAGTTTGACAGAGTCATCGTCATCATCGTACTCACCATCATCTTCATCCTCAATGTTGTTGTCATCGTCATCCTCTTCCTCCTCCTCCTCCTCATCATCATCATTACCATCGTCATCATCATCATCATCATTTCATGAATAATTGAAGGCGACCTCCCTGTAGTAACATCTGTCAGATCTCTCGGTGACCGTTTGCATGTCTGTATGTCTGTCTGTCTGTCTGTCTGTCTGTCTGTCCGTATGTATGTATGTCTGTATGTGTGTGTGTGCGTGTGTGTATGTATGTCTGTCTGTCTGTCTGTCTGTATGTGTTTATGTATTTAATTTTCAATTCTTAGAAGCAAATAAAATTTCGTTTCGTTTCGTTTCGTGTGTGCGTGTGTGTATGTATGTGTGTGTGTGTGGGCATGCATTATTATTATTATTTAATTTTATTGAAAATTTATAAAACGCGTAAAAAACATAAAGTTTCTCAAAAGCACTCCCCATAGCAGTAAAATGATAAAATAAATGAATAAATAAATCATTTCAAACTAATGGAGATTATGTATAACGAAGATAAATAAGTTTTCAGATTCTTTCTAAAATCATCGACCCTCAAGCCAGGCATTCTAAGCGAATTTGGCAGACCATTCCAAGCGACTGGTCTCATCCGACACGGCGATGTCTCTTGAGGCAGTCCGTAGATGGCTCCAGAGGCAGGTTGCCCGGAATCGGGTCTCAACTTTAGACCATTGAAAGAGCTGGTTTCTTTTTTGATCTTATTTGACAAATATTCTGGCAAGAGCCCATTTACAGCTTTGTACGTCATTATGCTGATTTTAGAAATGATGATGGCGTCACATGGTCGAATTTTCTACCACCGACAACAACTTCTGTTTAGAATCGACTGGAGAACTACAATAGACAGATCAGGCAATCTCCCATGGAACAACTATCACCACAATCTAATCTTGAATGTACGAATCCCATACATTGGTGTCCGTTTTGCAGACTGATGCAGAGACTTTCGAAGGCGAAGTAGCCGGCTAAACATGTATTCGTGCATGCACGTATGTATGTATGTGCACGCATATTGTACACAGTTTGTTTGCACAAGTGTGCTACCACTTGTATGCACTTACACATGTGTATGTGTGCATGTTTGTTTGCATGTAAGTGTGTATCTTTGTATCTTTGAGTTTTATCTATCAATCTACTCTGTCGCCACTGTACGTGTATCTTGCTGTATCATCTCTCTTGAAGTCGAACATTGATTAAAATGTAAGCCAAGCATAGGATCAAACGTATTTAAACTGACATTCACACGAAGACAAACATACATATATACATACGTACGTACATGCCTACTTGCACACATAAACAAATACACACACACACAAATGAACGTACATAAAAAGCAATTTTAAGCGTTATGTGCTCACGATCGAAAGCCGCCAAATTATTTCATAGCATCTTATAAAATCTAATCTAAAATGGTCGACTGTATGTGTGTTTGTATGCACGTACGTGTGTGTGTGTGTATGCACGTATGTGTGTGTGTGTGTGTATGCACGTACGTGTGTGTGTGTGTGTATGCACGTATGAATGTGTGTGTTTGTGAATGTGTGTGTGTTTGACCGTAATTTAAAATGGCCCTGGCTGGTTACATGAACACGGTCAATAAGTGTTATTTCCATTTTTACCACTTCCATTACTATAGGTTTTATTATGTTCGACTGAGCTACTACAACTACTACTGCAGTTACTACTAATACTACTATTTTTCTACCACCACCACCACTAATACCACTACTATTACTACTTCTACTACTACAACAACAACTACAACAACAACAACTACTACTACTACTACAACAACTACTACTAATTACTACCACTACTATTACTACTACTACTGATACATCTACTACTACTACTTTTACTACTACTGCCACTGCAACAACAACAACAACATCAACAACAACAACAACTGCAGTTTTCTGGTAGCGAGCAATAATAACATGAAAAATGCTTTCAGCAGAATAAGCTTATCTTATCAGAGGAAGCATATGGACGCTTGAATTTTGGGCCGATCTTGTTCTAATATTTATATAAAAAGTACGTGAGACGTTAGTACAATATTATTACTTGCTACTTCAAATACTAATACGGCTGCTACTACCATTTGCGCTGCTGCTACTACTGCTACTACCACAACCACTACTGCTTCTGTTACTGTTTTTTGTATAATTACTCTACATGTTGCGATTACTACTACTGCTGCTACTACTATTACTACTGCTGCTACTACTACCACTACTATTACTACCACTACTACTACTACTACTACTACTACTACTACTACTACTACTTCTACATAGTCATTATGCGTTCTTCTCCAATAAATCAAGCCGTAGAAAAATCATGAGTTATGTTGGCTGGAGAGATTTCATCCTTCCACTTTTATTTCACATTTAAAATTTAAATGAAGTAAAATTTAAGTTGAGGAAAATGTACGATATATAATAAAGGCACATGCACACGGACAGACACAGATAGAGGCAGATCCACAGACAGACCCACAGAGAAACACACAGAGAAACACACAGAAAGACACACAGACACCTAAACACATACACATACCTACTTCTACGCATATACCAATTACATATTTACTACGATCATAATAATAATATTAAAGTAATAAAACAAACCGTCATAAACACACACACACACACATATAATAATAATTATATAAGACACGCAAACACGTACATGTAATTGAATTCGCACACACACACGCACATACAAACATACACACACATACAAACATACACACACATACAAACATACACACACATACAAACATACACACACAATCATCCAAACAAACATACATACACATACAAGCAAGCATACATACAATGTCATTATACGGTGGTCTGAGGAAGAAAGAGAATAAAAATATACAAGGAAAAATAATTTAATTTGCCTAAGGTTTGCTAAGGCACTGAAAATCTGTATTTATGTATCTATGTATGTATGTTTGTTTGTTTGTATGTGTGTATGTATGTATGAATGAATGTTTGTATGTTTATTTGTCCGTATGTTATCCAAATAGATGTTACATCATAAATACCACGCGCCAGCCAGAGAATAAAAATAATTATTGATAAATAAATAAATCCATAAATACAAAAATTAATAAATTTATGAAAAACTAAAAAGTACCAAAAAATTAAATTAGAATACATAGAAAGGGAGAATTTTCTATTAATTAGCCAATTGATCAGTTAGATTAATCCTTCATTTAACCCAGTGCCATTTTTGTTTTTTGACGTCATCATCTTCCTCTTTTTCGTTGTTGTTGTTGTTGATGAGGTCACCGTCGAAACATTTCATGAGCGTGACGTCATAGTTGACGCTTGTTTTATTGTTTTGTTGTTTGTCGGTTGTCTTCGTCTTTTTTGTGGTCGTTGTTGTAGTCAGTGTTAGGCATTCGGTTGTGCCGGAGAAGAATATTCTGTCCTGAAATCGATCGGTTGGTCGGTTGATTGGTTCGTGAGTTTTATAAGGACTGATTGATTGATTGATTGATTGATCGATTGATTGATTGATTACAGTTGAGGGAAATGATTGAATTTCTCGTCAAACGATTAAACGATTGATTGACAGGGCAGTATATCAAATAGGTATGGGTCAATCATCATCATGATTGTCGTCATCATCATCATCATCGTCATCATCATCATCATCGTCAACATCATCACCACAATCAGCCGACGACACACGTCGCCAGCCGCACTGTCACCACAACTCACATTTTTGTACTCCCAAAATTGGTTGCCCCTCATGGAGTGACACTTGATGAAAAGCAGCTCCTCCGTGTTGGAACTATCCAGGCACTTTACATTGCGTCTGATCTCACCGGTCTTACTCAAGTAAAAAATCTAGAATAATGATAACAATAATTAATAATAATAATAATAAATAATAATAACAATAAATAATTATAATAACAATAAAAGTAATAATAATAATAATACCTGGTTTCCACCATGGTAATGGCAAGGCCAAATTTTCAGGAAATTCTTCTTATTTTTATTCCTTTTCTTCTTCTCCATTTTTTTCACCCATTCATCATTATCATCATCACCACCACCACCAGAAGCACTATTACTATTGCCGTCGTCGTCATCATCGTCGTCACTAATTTCGGCGTCCAAGCAGTATTCGACTTTGTTAGAAGTGTAGGCGCTTCTAATCTGGATGTTTTTTTTTTGAGGTGATTGTATGTTTCATTCATTCGTTTGTTCATTCATGCACTCGTTTGTCCATTCATTCGTTTGTTTATTCGTTCGTTTATTTATTCATTCATTTATTTGTTTGTCAGTTTATCTAATCGTTTAACTTCTAGTTCAGTTTATCTCCGTCCCAGCATTCCCTCTACCAGAAGACATCGCCATCATCACATCGAGATCATCATCAATATATCATTATAATCGTCACGCACACACACACACACACACACAGAGAGAGAGAGAGAGAGAGAGAACGAGAACGAGAGAGAGAAAGATGGAGGGAGGGAGAAAGACGCACACGTCACTTACATATCCTCGTTTTAGAGCCTCTGTCGGTACAAACAATTCAGGATAAACATTGGTGAGGTACCATTTGAATGATTTGCACTTCAATCTCTTCCTCAACTCCAATCTATCCGTTATGTTGCCTATGTCCATCTGTGTTTGTTGTGGTAGTTGTGGTCGATTTGGTCGTTGTGGTCGATGTGGTCGTTGTAGTAGATGTGATCGATGTGGTCGTTGTGGTCGATGTGGTCGTTGTGATGAAAAAAAGTTGTTGTAGATTGTGAAGAATAGAAGCTAGCCAGCCAACCAACCGATCTTTCACTAGGGTGAGCCTCCAGATAAATCTCCTTATACTCATCCATCCAGACCATCGCCATCCTAAGTAAATTTCTCGTGACCACGGACCCGGCTGTCTCCGAACCGTAAGGGGAGTTTTCCCGAAATACGTGCCCCACCCTGGAACACTGGGACTGTTCTAGACTGCCTCCGCACATCCACACCTTTGAAAGAAGCTTTCACTGCGTCATTTTAACATTTCCACACACATCACGGTTTATTTTATAACGAGTAAAATACAAATTTCCAATAGAAAAATAAAATTATTTCCATTCGAGAGATGTCAGGAGAGGCAGCGACAAACCCGGAAAGAAATTTCTAAATTTTCTCCTCCCCATATGTCCATGCCCTGGTCGTAGAGGCCGATGTGCCGGAAGTACTCCCTGTTCACTGCAAACAACCCCCCTGCTATCGTCGGTGTCCTGGTGGAAACGGTGGGGATGAAGAAGATGAGGATGAAGAAGAGGAGGATGATAAAGAAGATGAGGATGAAAATGATGAGGATGAAGAAGATGAGGAGGAAGAAGATGAGGATGATGAAAAAGATGAGGAAGAAGATGAGGATGATGAAAAAGATGAGTAAGAAAAAAATGAGGATGATGAAAAAGATGAGGACGAAGAAGAATTTATTTTTCAAAAAAAAGGAGACAGAATGGAAAAGTTTGATGAAAATTATATAGGTCTCCGGATGGCAACAACAATAAGGAAACTTCTCAAAAATACCTAATCATATCGAGACTAGATTTGACCTCCCGCTTCTGATTGGCTGGTAGGTAGTGCCAATCAAATTCAAGGTTCCACGTGAACCCGCCGACCTGAATGTCATCAACCTGGTGGTACTGGTATTCGAAGTTGTTCAAATCGATGACGTCAATTTCTGGGGCGACTACGGCTTTCTTGTTCTTCGACAGGTGGTACAGTAAAGGCTCTATCCATCCTGGAGTAAGTAAGGGGGTTAAGGGGTAGATGAACATCCACCCACCCACACACGCACACACACACACGCACACACACACACGCACGCACACCTTTAGTACATTCACAGTGCGAATCAAGAAATATGATGACATCTGCTGTGCAGTGTTTCGTTCCGAGCAGGCGAGCTTTTATGAGACCGATGCGTTTCTTGCTATTCACAATGAGAACTTTTTTCATCTTCTTGAAGTAACGCCTCAATGGCTCGTATAAGTAATCTGCAATTGTAAGAAAAATAGGGGTAGTATTTATCTCTCTCTCTTCTCTCTCTCTCTCTTTCTTTCTCTCTCTTTTTCTGTTTCGCACATACAGGCACAAATAAGTAATCTGCAATTGTAAGAAAAGTAGGGGTAGTATTTATCTCTCTCTCTTCTCTCTCTCTCTCTCTCTCTCTTTCTTTCTCTCTCTTTTTCTGTTTCGCACATACAGGCACAAATAAGTAATCTGCAATTGTAAGAAAAGTAGGGGTAGTATTTATCTCTCTCTCTTCTCTCTCTCTCTTTTTCTTTCTCTCTCTCTATTTTTCTGTTTCGCACATACAGGCACAAGTATGCAACAAGCAGACACTAACTAACTATATTTAGAAAAGTCATTAACTAAGATAATTTGATTGAGCAGCACTGGGGGCGTCCTATCCAAGATACTGTGCACTGTCCTCAGAAGTGTCGACCAGGCTTCGTTGTAAAATATGATAACAATGTCGGCTTTTGGTAATTTGTCAAGGTCATATACCTTTCTCTTGCATCTGATTGGTCGGTAGGTTGATGGGTCGGTTGTTTGATTGGTTGGCTGGTTGGTTGGGTGAATGTTTGGTCGATTGGCTAGTTGGTTTTTTTGATTGATTGATTGATTGATTGACTGATTGATTGATTGATCGATTGAAGACTCACTCTTCATTCCTGGCATCAATGAGAGACCGATGGAATGATATCTTATCGCTGACATATTGATTGAACTCATTTTTAGCGTACCCATCTCTCCATTCTTTCTTCTGATCAGCAGACAAACTTGAATATTTGATAGACACTTTCTGGCCATATTCACCTTCACGATGGTGATGATGATGGTGGTGATGATGGTAATAGTGATGATATTAATGATGGTGATGATGCTGTTTAAAAAGCAAAAACAAAAATTAACAACAGCACAAGTTCAGCGAGTGTACTCTTTTGAAAGAGGAGGTGGCTTAATTTTCTTTTTATAAACAACTTCGAAGTTTATAAAAAAAAAAACTAATTTTTATTTAATTCATTTTTAATGTTTGATCCTTCATTCTGTCAATCAATCATTCATTCATTCGTTCGTTCGTTCGTTCGTTCATTCATTCATTTAGTCGTACAATAATCCGTACTCTCATTCATATACAATCATCGATTAATTCTTACATTTTTTCCAAGATGAATATTAGTGAACACGTATTCAATTCAAGTAACAAACACACACAAACAAACACAAAAATACACACAAACAAACAAACACACACAAACAAACAAGCACACAAACACACACACAAAGAAACACACAACTCAAACACACACACACACACACACACACACAGACCAACCAAATCCATCATTAATGGCCTCCTTTTCTTTTTTAAACGACCATTTCGGAACTATCCAACCCTCCATTATTAGTTCTTTGGTGTTGTTGTCTATGCTGTCATCAAACTCGATCCTCTCACTGATGTACGAATCGTCAGGGATGTACATGCTGTTGAACTTCTCGTAAAATTTTTTTTTATTCTGCAGTCTCGCTCTTATTTGTTTCTTTATTTTTACTTTCGGGATGAAGAGGTTAAATATTTCGTCCATCACTGCTGCTCTATGTGTTTGTATGTGTATGTATTCGTATGTGTGTTTGTTTGTATGTGTATGTGTGTGTTTGTATGTGTCATTTGGTCTAGGATGGATGTGTTGAACCGATTGATTAGCAGATTAACCGTTGAAGAATAATTAAAGATATGAGTAAAAACTGATATGAAGCAAGCTTATAATATGGGTGATTCACTCAACCATTTGTCCATTCATTATTTATCTCGTTATTTCATTTATTCATTCATGCATGCATTCATTCATCTGTTCATTCACTAATCCATTCATCCATTCATACATCCATGAGTTCATTAACAGCCAATCGGAAAATAATTGAAAACGAACTTGTAATATGGGCCTTCATTAAAATTGGCAGAGTCGTCACGTCTACCACCACCACCACCACCATTACCACCACTACCACCGTGGCCACTGATGACGTTGTTGAAGTCGCCACTCGGTAGCTTATTCAGATGGAAAATGACCAAAGCAACAAAGAAAAAATAAATTACAATGGAAATTTTCGCGAATCTATGAAGGCTCTTCGAAAAGATCATCTTCGATTTGCGGATGTTTAAAAACTTGGTTTCAGTCAATTTCAATCTAAACAACAATAATAAAATAATAATAAAATAATAATAAAATAATAATAACAACAATAATAACAACAATAATAAAATAATAATAAATCGTTAGCAACGACAGACAGGTTTCGAGTACACTTCCCTAATTAATTTAAATTATTTTTTGAGATGTATAGATTAATTATTATTATTCTTATTATGACTATTATTATTATTATGACTATTACTATTATTATGTTATTATTATTCCTGTTATCCTCACAGAAGTATCCACAAACGCCTTTATATGTGTATGAATGAGATATGTATCCAAAGCAAACAAATAATCAAAAACGCTAAATAAAACCATTGTTATTATTATTATTTTTGTAATATGTATATATATATATATATATATATATATATATATATACATATATATCTATATATATAGATTAGAATAAAAATATTAGTGACACATTTCTATGGAATCAAATAACTGCTAGAGATCCTATAGTAGTTTCATTCAAAATTGTGAACTTTAGACTTTAGATCTTGTTTGTCATCTGTTAGCTTTCCTCGTTGTATCTTAGTAAAAAAAACAATGGTAATCTCTTTTTTTTTATTTATTTTCTATTAAAATTAAAAGTGAATCTCTAAAAAAATATATTTTATAACTTTAGGAGGAAAATCAGTCAGCGAGCCATTAGGTGCAACTCTTCAAAGTTTTTGAATCAATTGAAGAAAACGCCTTAAAATAAAAGCTACTTTATTTTTTTTTTTATAAATAATCTTTACAAAATTAAAACACACACACACACACACACACATATATATATATATAAATATAAATATATATATACACACATATATATATATATATAAATATAAATATATATATTCATCAATAAGTGCATTTCTGACAGTCTTAATGCATGTATGTGTGTGTGTGTTTGTGTGTATGTAACGACTATTTAAGAATAACAATGATTTTTGTTTGGCCAAACAGAACTAGCGTTTATTTATTTTTGTTTAGAAAGAAAAAGAGGTGAAAAAATGAAGAATAAGTTGCCAAAAATGTTTTTAAAATTAAAGAAGATAAATAAATAAAGATTAAATAAATTTACAAGTCCATCCTTATTAGTAGTTCATGTGTTTGTCATAGGCGTAAAAATTACGTAATGCCAACTTTGAATCAAATCAAATTGCTCCTCAATTAAAATTCATAAAACTTCTCTCTCTCTCTCTCTCTCTCTCGAACTCAACTTTATTTATATTTTTATATAGATATATACTTAAGTGTGTATGTGTGTGGTATGTGTCTTTTCAACAGTGGCCACATATCTACTATAATAATGTTTTATAATATAATAATAATATAATAATAATCTATAATAATAAGTACTAAATTATGTGAAGTAATAATATGTGCCATTAAATTGCAGAAGTACTTTTAACTTAGATATATTTGTATGTATGTGTATAACTATGCATGTCTGTGCTTGTGTGTGTACCCATGTATGTGCGTATGTGCGTTTGTATGTGTAATTGTGTATGTATGCCTGTGTGCATGACAATGACAATAAATAATTATGACATAATCTTAAAAATCAAATCCGTATCAATAGACCAAGTAGGCAAATACAGAAACACACTGTACATTTATGTGTTTGTACATACAAATGTATGTGTATGTATGTATGTGTGTGTGTGTGTATATATGTATGTATGAATGTGTGCGTATACAAAGCCATCATGTAAAAAATACATAGAGAAATAAACACAAGAAATACATACACTCAAATAAACTAAAATAGTCCCACACACACGCACACACACACACGCGCACGTACAAACATACACGCACACACGCACACGCTCTCTTGCAAAGTTCAAATCATTATTTCAATAATAATCACTAATAATAAAATGTAAAATAGTGGCAAAACAACGAAGTAAAAAAAAAAAAATAAAGAACTGCAATATACAGACCATAATGCTTAATAATGGCGATAATTTGTACCCCCAAACATATTAAAACTATTAGTAATTTTATTATTATTACTATTATTATTATTTATAGCAGTATTAGTAATAGTATTCATGTTATTATTAGCATTATTAACATTCATATTATTATTGTTATTATTATTGTTGTTGTTGTTAACGAAATCACGATATCTAGCACATGGATGGCCAATGGCGTTACTATTGCTCATGTTTATATATGGATAGGTAATCACCCCTGATTCGTACAGAGCTATGTTATTGATGTTATTGTTGTTGCTGTATTGGTTGTTGATGTTGTTGTTACTGTACTGATTGTTGATGCTATTGATGTTATGGCTGTTGTGGAAGCTAGGATTTTGTACGCTATTGCTGATTCTCAAGTTTGGATTAGCGCCTCGGACACTGTTCGATAGGTGGTTGTTGCAACTTGGGATGATGTTGTTGTAGTTGCTGTTGTGGTTATTCGGCAGGTAGTTGATGTTATTTGGGATGAAGTTGCTGTTGTGGTAGCTCTGGTTGTTTGGGATGATTTTGTTGTTGTTGCTGCTGCTGTTGTTTGGATATATAGGATATCTTGGATAGCTGAAATGGAAAAAAAAATTAAATAATTTCATTGTTATGCCTAAAGGATAATTTTTTAAATGAGAATAAAAATGTTCTAACTTAATGTTGCCAGGTTGAAGATAAGGATTGATAGCATCAAATCTGCTTGGTCTCAACATATTGCTGACGCTGTTGTGAATGTTGAGGTTGTTGTTGTGAATGTTGAGGTTGTTGTTGTGAATGTTGTTAGCACTCTCCAACGTGTATTCCAAGTTAAAGTTGTGGTAGATATTGTTGCTGTTGTTAGCTGAGTTAGTATTACATTTGGATGTGTTGTTATCACTATGGCTGATGTTGGTACTCTTATTATTGTTATATCTGCATGGGTTATTGGTATCATTTTGTTGATAGTTATTAGGATTATTAATGATCTTATTCCTATTATTATTGTAATTATTAATATTTCTATTATTTTTATTCAAATTCTCAAGCCTGGTGTTGTTGTTCATTGGTTGAATAGATTTCATATCGGATTTTGTAGCAGAAACAGCAACAACCGATGGGGAGGTCGCTTTTGTTTTTGACCTAGCAGTCTGCTGATTTGTAGCCACAATTGTTTTAGCTGATGTTGCTATTGCTGAAGTTAAAAGTTTTTTAGCTGCTTCAACTGTTGGAGTTGTTGCAACAATAGAAACTGTTGCAACAACCGAAGTGTCTGTAGCTGCTTCAACTGTTGTAACTGCTGAAGTTGCTGTAACTGCAGTAGCAGCTAAAGTTACTGAAGCTGCCAAAGTTACTGGAAGAATTGTAACAGCTGGGGAGATACACTTATCATCAGAAACATTAGTTTCAGATTTGTCAGTTTCTAGCGATTCATTAGCAGTTGCTGCAATGGTCATGTTTGATAGAGAAGATGTTAACGAAGGGTGAGTAACTTGTATCGATGTTGTTGATGTGACAAGAATCGTTGTGGTCTTTGTTGCTGTCACTACTAACTTGCTTGTTGATGTTGATGCTAGCTTGTTAGCACTTTCTTTTACTTCAGTTTTTGAAATTGAAGTTTTGGACGATTTCGTTTCAAATGTAAGCGAATCAACCACAGATTTGTCATCTTCTTGAGAAGGTACAGATGTCGCCAAGATGCTCGACAATGCAGCAGCATCAACAGAGGTAGCTGGTTCTGTCACTACAACAGCAGCAGTACTAGACGACAAAGAACCACCAGTTGTACATACACTGGAAGTAGCTGTGGCTAGTACTGCATCACTACCCATCGATGACGTTGATGATGAAGGCGGAGATGACCCCAAAATACGTTTCCTTGCTTCCGCATATGCTGCCTCTCGTTCTTCTAATGTTCTTAATGGCCTCAATGGCTTCCTATTTTGATATTTAATGATTCATAAATTAAATTATTTGAATGAAATTGCAAATTATTATTTAAAAAGCTGAAATAAAAGGCAGAGAACAAGTCAGCAGGTAATATGATAGTACCTGTGGGGGCCATTTCCTGTTGAATTTGAAAGACATGGGTCGGACATTGGTTGCCTTTTCAGGATTTTTATTGGCTGATTGACATCTGACATTTTGTTTTCCACTAGTTTACTAAAATACAAGGCTTCCAAGTTTCGGATTCGTAAAAAAATAGCTAGTTAGCACTGACTGGTTAGGGTTAAGCTTCTTACTTAGAGTAGCAGCAGTTTTTTAAATTTAATTTAAAAATTAAATTAATTTAAAATTACTAATGAATAAATCTTCCCTAAATATTAACTTTCGTCAAGAAAATAAAACCGACATACCTGCAAAGTGATGTGAAAACAAATATTAAAATAAGTACAAAAAAGTAATTAAAATTGACGCATTTATTAATTAAAATAAATTAAAATTCATTCTCACGTTTTTGACTAAACATTTTTTTGGCCAAATCAAATCTTCCGCTCACTAAACAGGCGCAATAGTGATTAGTTAGTTAATAAATTAGTACCTGCGCGTTTGAAAAATGTAATTAAAACATTAATTTTATATTTTTACGCACAAAAAAAGCATTTGTGATACAATTTTAGACCAAATTTTAATAAAGGGAAAAAGTCACAAAAAATATAAATGGGTGCAACTAAAAGTGGATTTCTTTTAAAATACTTTACAGGGTTGAGCTGTCAAGTTTGAACCGAACCTTTATAAACCGATATTCGTTGTAACTTCCCTGAACTTGTGTAAACAAAACAATCACCACACATTAGTAAAACGACTTTTACTTGTCTCAAAAATCTCATTTATTTTCTCATTCGTAAGTTTCGTGTTTCTAAATGTTTATTCATAAGTGAATTTTTTTATTGTATGGTTGGTGACGTTTAGTCAAAATATTTTAGAAAATATTTTTATAAACTTTAATTAAATTTTTTATAATTTAATTAATTATTTATTTAATTTAAATTTTTATAAAAAAAACTATTCTCTAACTCACCACAGAATCAGATTAGTAGTGAATTTGAAAACTTGGAATTGAAAAAAAATGCAAAATGGCCTATTTAAAAAAAGTAACAGATGACACTGATGATGGAGGTGATACAGATGAGGTTGAAGATGATTTGGATGTTATAAAATCAAGAGGTCTTCTATTTTATTTTTTTACTTCTCACAAAAATCTAACATTTTAATAAATAAATAAAATGGAGTTATTTCAATTCAATACCACCAAAATAAAATAAATTATTTAGCTATTAAATACATCACATAGCTCGTCTACAGAGGGGCTTTTCAAAAACCAGCAACAACATAAAGTTAGTAGGCCTGGCTAGAGATTTCATGCTCAAAGATATAAAAGAATTGTCAGCAGATGATGAAGAATTTTTTTCAGATAAAACTGGGTTCACTTTTATACTCCCTGACCTGACCAAACATCCTGAAGACCTGAAAGCCTTTCTTTATAAGGACCTAATTGAGAGTTCTATGCTTGTCTCTCTCGAACAGGATGGTGGGTGATAATGTAATTAAATAAAATTAAATTGTTTATATAATTATTCTCAATGTCAAGGTCACTTGAATTGGTGGACAGACATGGGAATTTGTGATAGGTTCCTACCGATGGTGACCAGCGGAGATGGCAATTGTTTGCTACATGCTGCGTCTCTGGGTCAGCTATTATTATTATTATTAGCTTTAATGATAAGAATGTTTATCAAAATTAGGATGATATTATAATAGTAACAAAAACATGAGTCTTAAACGTCATTGTCAGCGATGTGGGGCTTCCACGACCGTGTCCTAGCCCTGAGGAGGGCAGTCAACTGCATGATGACCACAAGTAACCACCACATCAAATCATTTCGTCGACGCTGGCAACATCAACAGGCCACAATACTGCATTCGTCATGCGGATTGATCCTGGACGACGAGGAATGGGATAAAGAATGGGAGTTCTTGGTGAGGGTTAGCTCTCTGACTCCAAGATTTCTTGGGGAGGATTGCCTGGGAGCTGGGACGGAAGCAGGAGGTTGTTTAACTGGTGGTGGATCTATGTTAGTACAGATTTATTTTCTTAATTTCTATTTGTCATGATTAATCTTCTGAGAAACTTTCAAATTTACAAATTTATATAGTTATAAATTTTTTTTTAATGATTATTTTCATCACTATCAACAGAAACAATAGAGGTTCCAAGCTGCATGTAGGCGGAGGCGCTACCACAGCAGCCTCAGAATCAGCTCCACCTAATCCTTCAACATCTTCCATCTACGAAAGCCTCGATGAATTCCACGTTTTTGTCTTGGCCCACGTCATAAAAAGACCCATTTTGGTCGTGGCAGACCCTTTTTTACACGATTGCGAGGGCATGGCACTGTCACCTGTACCGTTTCGGGGTGTCTATCTACCCCTGGAAAGAAGCCCTGAAGATTGCTGCCCATCTCTACTTCTATTGGCATACAATTTGGGGCATTTTTGTGCTCTTGTTCCCACTGAAAGCAAACTGCTTTCTGAGAATTTTGAGTGTTGGTGTTTTTGTTTTGCTTGTATGTATGTCTGTGTTATTGTAAGTACGTTCATATATCTGTCTGGGCTTTAGCTTGTATGCCTGTTTGTTTGTTGGATGGAATGTATGTTTGTATTGCTGTGTGTGTCACGTTGGCTGGCTGATGTCCAATCACATTGCATACCTACCTGATGATGAGACTGCACTAATTTCAGACCTGATCCCATTGGTCAACTCTGATTTGAACCTCTTGGAAGTTCACTTTCCTGTCGATCCGCTGACCGATCGTCGATCCGTCGATAAGTTGTCCAGTCAGGAGCTGCTGGATTTGATGCACATGTATCTCAGGATCGAATATGTAAAAGTGAATTCAGATAATAACCGCTATAATGATAGTATTCGGGCAAGTGTTCTTACGGGACAGCCGGTCGATATAGATAAAAATTCTCCAAAACCATCGTTAGTTGTTAGTTTTTTTCAATTTTTTATAGGTTAATAAAAAAAAAATTATTTTTAAACAGGGGCGAAAAAAAACGCAGAAGATCTTCCGTCCAATCGACAAAGTACATATCCCACTTCATGTTCGGCGAGAGCCAATCACAATCAGGCATTCAATCACCCGCAGATTATTCAAAAACATCCGGCCAATCACATTCAAGTGCTTTTACTCGCGACAAATCTGCTATGCCGTGTGCGCGCCTAACCGTCAAGAAAGCTCCATTTGCTGATAAATTAGTTAAAAATTACCTTTCAGAGCTGGAAGTTAGATTCAAAGTTCTAACAGAACAAAGGTTCAAACAGTTAGAAGAGATTAGGAATCAGGGGGTAAAACTAAAGCCCACAAGATTGGGAACGAGTCGAGGGAGAGATGCAACCGGCTCTATTACTTGGTGTCAGCCAACTGAGACTAACGAATCTAGTTATAAATCTGCCTCCAAACATCAATCACTCTTTCCTAATTTGAATTCTAATAAATATAATAGTAATAATAATAGTAACGACAATATCATTAATAATAAATTAACTGTTGGCAGAACTTCTAGCAATGATATTATCCTTAGTTCTAACAAACACAACAACAACAGATATAGTGCTCTAGTTTTTGCAGACACCACACACAACAACAACAACAACAACAACACAAACAACAGCAACAGTAGTAGTAGTAGTAGTAACATATTAGATGGTTTGCTGTCACTACCGAAACTTCGATTCAACAACAACAGCAACAAAACAAACAAACGATCGACGATCCTAGACAATCCCAATCTGGCAACAACTTGCTCAAGTGCAATGCTTCACATTGGGAATTCCAAATTTTATATGATGGTTGACGACAACAACAAAAATGATGATGAAGATGAGGATGAAAATAAAAACAACAACAACAACAACAAGAATAGCAAGAATAGAAGCATTGCTAGCAACAACATCATCACCAGTAGTAGCAATAGTAGCAGTAGCAGCAATAGTCAAACTGTTAAAAAATTAGATGTAGTTGATAAAAATCTTTCAGAAGAGGAGATCTTAACCAGCAAAGCTAATCCTGATTTGAACGAATTCGAAGCTCTTTTTAGAAAACAAAATTCCCGAGTTAATAACATTGCTTCTTCATCCACTAAATCCATCTATCCATCCACTAATTATCCCGATCAGTCAACACCCTTAGATAGGAGGTTGAATGAAGAGACTAATTTTTTAACGTATCCCTATAGAACATCTTTTGAAAAGAGGGAAAGTGCCTCTAATAATAAGGTTTCCGGTGAGATCGGTGGCCTAAAAGCGAACTCAAATGCAAAAATGAGTTTGTTGAAGATTATAAATCCGTCCTCTGTAGCCGCTTCTTCTTCGCCAGTGCTTCTGTCAGCCACTAAAAGCGCCGAATATACTGATAGAAATACTGCTGCAGCTGGGACTTTCAACAGGGTGAACATTTTTGAGGAGAATGTTGCCGGCAGAAACGTCAACAAAAACAACAACAGCAACAAAAATATTAACGTTGGCGTGGGCAGTGGTAAGAAAGATGGCGACGATGATAGTTCAAGTAAGAATCTGATCAACTTGGTAATGCCTGATTTGCCGTCGTCTTCTTCATCATCATTTGATACTAAGAACTCTCAACATTTTCGCAATGTTTATTCCTTTCAACAACAACCACAACAGCCGCAACAAAAACAACCACAAATACTACAAATACATCAAGAACGAACACAGCTGCAAGAAAAATTGAAGCCACAAAGACCAACTCAACCTTTAAATTACACGCAAAATCAACCGGTAAAATTACAACCACTACAGCCGATACAGCTGCAGCCACAACTACAACAGCCACAACTACAACAGCCACAACTACAACAGCAGCCACAAACACAACAACGAAAACAATCACAACAAACTCAACAAAAACAGCCAGCGCATCAACGACAGCAGCTGGATCAAGTCAAGCCACAAAGACCAGCGTTGCCTTTTTCTATACAGTCTTCTCTAAAACGGCAACAACAATCGCAACAAACATTTCAACAACCACAGCAACAACAACAAACATCACAACAACAACAACAGTTATTACTACAGCAACAACAGAAACATCAACAGCAAAAACAACAATCTCAGCAACATCAACCACAAAAGCAACATCAACAGCTTCAACAACAACAACGACAGCTTCAACAACAACCTTGCAAATCTGATAATTGCACATTCTATGGCTCAAAACTTAATCGCGGCTACTGCTCCATTTGCTTCGCCAAAAAAGGCGGTGGCTACGACTACATCGACGATGACGACGACGATGACGTCACCGACGGCAATGACATCAAAAATAAAAACAAAAACAACAGCAATAACAATAAAGACAACTCTAAGAATAATAAAAATAAGAGCGAAGGCTTGCCTTCTGTTGACATATCAAATATGTCAGGGTATAGGTTTTGTCAAACAAAGTTCTGACTATAACCGTGCCGATGGTCTAAAGATAATTTGCTATTATGATTACGAGAGTTGATTATATTTTTGATGAAAGTCATAATAATAATATTAATTATTATTATTATTATTATATATAGTAATTATAGGTTTTTTAATCCTGTCCTCTATTGAATGAATATATTTTTGTTTATTTATTTGCTTATTATTTCGAATTCAATAAAGGATTAATTTAATCATGTTACTGAAACATTTTCGTTGTTATTATTAGTAGCTGTATAAGTAGTAGTAGTCGTAGCAGTAGTAGTAGCAGTAGTAGTCGTAGTAGTAGTAGTAGCAGCAGCAGCAGCAGTAGTAGTATTAGTAGTATGAGGCCAGTTTGGTGTGTCTATTCTTTCATATTTAGTTCTTATTCTTACTTTTTCACCCAAAAGATTGCTAGCATTGTTCACTTTATTATCTCATACGTGCCTTTAATAATAATAATGCAAATAATATATATATAAAGAAATATATATGTATATATTCATAATATATACGTATTTGTGTACAAATATGTACATGTTTGTGTATAAATGTACCTATATCTATGTATATGTACCGCGAATAAATACGTAATACCAGAATTCTTCTGTATTTTACCTTAGGTTTTTATGTGTTCATTTGGGATTTATTTAAATATGTATATGTGTTAATATATATGTTTAGATACATACACACACACAAACAGACATTTCTATGTATATATATATATGTGTGTGTATGGTCATGAACCTTGATTGAACGATTCTTCATTCCCACAGTTAAATTAATAATAAAAATATTTTTTGTTTTTTGCTTCTTTTTTATTCTTTTGTTTGTTTCATTCAGTTGTTCATTTTAAACGGTTCACTCTTTCATTCAGTCGTTCTTTCGTTCATTCTCCCACATTTATACATTCACTCATAACTCATTCATTCATTCATTCTCTCTATCAATCAATTGATGTTCTATTTACACGTTCAATCGTTCATCAATTCAATCATTCATTCATGCACTTGCTCATTCATTCATTCGTTCATTCATTCATTCATTCATTCATTCATTCATTCATTTATTCATTTTTTAATTTATTCATTTATTCATTCACTTATTCGGGCATTAATTCGATCATTCATTCATTCATTCATTCATTCATTCATTCAGTTATTCATCATCCATGCATTGATTTAATCTCTCATTCCATATAAGCTGCTGAAAAATAATGTTGGTTTCGAGTTTTTCATTGCAAACAACAATTGTACTATATATATGTATGTGATTTCTTCGATTTCTGTACATAATTTGTGATTAATGTTATCACTAATCTTGCTGTTATTTTATTGTTATTATTATTCGATTATTCATTCATTCATTCATCATTCATTCATCTATCATTCATTCATTCGTTCGTTCGTTCGCTTATTTCTCCATCTATTCAGTCATTCGATCATTCGCTTCGTTGTTCATAAAAAGTTTTGGTACTTCAACTTTATTGGAGAACTTTATGAATAAATAATAATAAAAATGTTTGTTTTTGCTATTTCTTGAAAATTATCATTTGCATTTTTGCTGTGAGGGCCGCATTGAGAAATGTTTTACCTTTGAAGGGCCGCGTATGTACATAAAAACAAATTTTTTCGACCTTATTTTTGGCGAAGAAGGCCTCGCGGGCCGCTTGAAATAGCTTCGGACCGTAGTTTGCCCACCCCTGCAACAAACAATGAACAGAGTTGCACCACAATTTGTTGTTTTCTTGTGGGCGCGCTCACGAAGACGATGATGATGAAAATGATGGTGATGACGACGATGATGGTGATGATGATGCTGATAACGATGGTGAGAATGATGATGTTGATGATGATGAGAATATAAAATAAATTTAAATTTCGGCAATAAATCACGTAAGACCACTTACAAGAGACACAGCGGCAGGTAAGCAGATGTTTCAAAGTGATTTGTTGGGCAATTCTAGGAGAAATTTTTTTTTCTTATTTCGGTCCGAGATATTCTAATTCATTCATTCATTCATTCATTCATTCATTCATTCATTCATTCATTCATTCATTCATTTATTCATTCATCCGTCTCTCTGGCTAACAATTTGTTTCTTCATTCATTTCTTCATTCATTCGTTCGTTCGTTTGTTCATTTGTTAGTTTATCGATCTGTTTATCAGTTTTTGTATCTACCTCGTTGAATCCATTTAGTAGCCATCATCATCATAATGGTTTTATATTATGTTATTATTGTTATTATTACTATTATTAATATTAGTAGTAGTAGTGTAGTAGTAGCAGTAGTAGTAGTAGTAGTAGTAGTAGTAGTAGTAGTAGTAGTAGTAGTAGTAGTAGTAGTAGTAGTAGTAGTAGTAGCAGCAGCAGCAGCAGCAGTAGTAGTAGTAGTAGTAGTATAAGAATTAGAAAATATTTACCTACCCCTCAATTTTAGATTGCCCAATAAAGACAGGAGATTCAAGCCTGTACACACGCACGCACACGTACACGCACGCACACGCACGCACACGCACACACGCAAAATAATAATAAAAATAATAATAGTTTTAAATGTTTACGTGTGAGTGTAAGATCTAAGAAAATTTCTGACGAAAAAGCAATACAACCTGTTGCATTGCGTTATACCTGTGTGTTATATACACTCATACACACACATACACACGCATACATACATAAATACATGCATACATATATACATAGAAACATACATACATACATACATACATACATACATACATGCATACATACATACATACACACATACATACAACATACATACATACATACATACATACATACATACATACATACATACATACATACATACATACATACATACATACATACATACATACATACATACATACATACATACATACATACATACATACATACATACATACATACATACATACATACATACATACATACATACATACATACATACATACATACATACATACATACATACATACATACATACATACATACATACATACATACATACATACATACATGCATGCATGCATACATACAACATACATACATACATACATACATACATACATAAATACATACATACAAACATTCCTGTATGATAGAAAGATGGGCAAGATGAACGAATCGATAAAATATCATTTCGACTTTATAGTAAAACTTCCATCGATAGCGCCCATCTTGCTAATAATATTATATAACTATTAATTATATTATTATTATTATTATTAATTATTAATAATTATGAAGTTATGATCGGTGAAAAATTTGGAATTATGCCTTGGGGATGGACTTCTTTCCAACTCCAAAAATTTTCAGTTTATTCCCACTGAGATCAAATGAAGCAAAGAATGATTTTTAAAGTTCTCAAATTACACACATTTACATGATTTGGTGCCAAACCTATTATTTTAAATTATAAATAAATAATTATACATATATATATGTATTTATATATTAATTATAATTACGTAAATATAGTTTAGTACCTTTTAGTGCCATTGAAAAACTTGTTAAAAATAAAATACCATGTTTAAGTTTATATTAGGTGTAGTGTTAATTTTACTCTTCGTTGTCATTGTTGATGTTATCGTTGATGTTACAGTCGATCAAGGATTGGATACAGTTGGCAGTAGTGCTGGTAGTAGTAGTAGTAGTAGTAGTAGTAGTAGTAGTAGTAGTGGTGGTAGTAGTAGTGGTGGTAGTAGTAATGTTAGTAGTAGTATAAATGGTAGTAGTAACATTGAATATCCTGGAATCTTAGAACTTAGTAAGTATATTGTTGTTGTTGTTGTTGTTGTTTTGATTATGACGTCATTGTTTTTGTTTAGTTGTTGTTGTTGTTGTTGATGTTTTGATAACGTTATTAATATATTAATAATAAATATTAATAATAATATTATTAATAATAATACAGTTCCCATAGAGACAAAAATATTTTTCATGATAACTGGAGTAGCCATCGTGGGCATAATTGTGGTCATATTTTTCTTCGAGGGCTTGCTGAAATGTCTGGATAAGGTCAAGGACCTATTCGAAGATTGCTGTTCGTCCACACTGCCCTCTAGCAAGTCATCGTCATCATCATCTTTCTCGTCGCTGTCATCACCTACCACAAAAACGTCATCGCAATCATCGTCACTGCTTCCAATGACGTCATCCAAAATGACGACGATGATGAGAGACAGAGATGGTGGTGGAGAGGATAACAAAAATAGCGAGAATGTTTCAGGAGACGCAATTGAAACAGGGGATTGTGTTAGGCTTGTTGAAGGTTACAGTTGTTTGTTTTAACGTACGCACAGAAACACACACACACACTTTCACACACATACACACGTACACACACACACGTACGTACGTACATGCATACGTATGTGGATGTGAACATACAAATAGCATACAAACACTATTACTATGATCATCGCCAGATAGCCACAAAAAGCCAAAATCCTTCTTTTCATCATTGTTTCAACCATCATCACCAAAACTTAAAAATGATGACGACGACGATGATGATGATGAGGAGGACCACCTTCTTGAATGCTATCTCAAATCGATTGAAGCTTCCGATACGGAAAACATAGGAGATGCAACAAAGGTTTTTTCTTGTACAACGTTGTATCACTTAAAATCATTGATATCATTTTGTATCGTCTGTATCATTTGATACATGTATGCATACATTGTTATATATAAAATGTTAATAAGATTATAAATTTCAATGTGTCATTTCACTGCAATCAATTTCTACGATGAAATTTAAGAGAAAAAAACAAAAATAAATAAGTCAGTATAAATGTTAGTTGATAGTTTACTCTGCTCTCATATTTAAAATATCATCTCTTTCTTTCTTTCTCTCTCCATTCTCTCTCTCTCTCTCTCTCTCTCTCTCTCTCTCTCTCTCTCTCTCTCTCTCTCTCTCTCTCTGCCATCATTCATCAGCGGCAAATGATATAAGTATGAGAGTGGTCGTAGAAGTAAGACCACATCCTCCTCAGAGAGTTCGGACAGACCTGTTTGCCGTTGCAAGTCTGCTGAACGTTAAACTTGCAGTCAATGTCGTTGTATTCCGGCACGAACCAGCCAGACCAGGAGCCACTGAACCACTGGATCTTGTAGGCTATGATGCGGCCTTTGAGAACTTCCTGTGGGCGCGTGTGTGTTTTTGTTTGTGTGTGTGTGTTTATCTGTGAGTGCGTGTGCGTGCGTGTGTCGTTGTTGTATGAGGCGTGATTAAAATGTTGAACGTTAATTTTCGATTAAATAAAACACATTCACCAACATCCTCTACACGATCGGCAACTGCATCAAAGGAAGCCGCTACAACGACAACAACTACTTCTCTGCCACCAAAAACTACAACCACCACCAACAACAACAACAACGACGACGACAACAACAGACTAACATAATCCGTATTTCTGCCCAGTCCGTTGCCCCACCACTGGCACTGATTGGCGAGCGCGGCTTCGCCAACTACCTCGCTACACACACTCTTCTGTGAGACATCATTCGCCATGCAGTCGCCAGTTGGACAGTTGGCATTGCACTTCGCACAGTCTTCCGCCGAGTTTTCTACCAACACACACAGAACCAGGAAACTGCAGACGGCATTCAACAGCGTCATCGTCATCTTTTTTCGGATACTTTAACAACCAACTATGTGTATCGGTTAATCGGAGATTCTCATGTCGTTTGGATGTTTCAAAACTTGGTGTATATATAGAAGTAAATGTACACACGCACATACACACACATACATTCACACACATACATTCACACACATACACATACTTTTACAAGTGTTTGTATCAAACGAGTGAACTGTTCTAACGGTTTGTTTGTCTACGGTTGAGTTATTTCTGGAAATTTTTTTAAGTCGCAGAAGTTGAAATTGTGCTGTGTTGTTTGTATGTACGTGTGTGTGTAAGTGCATTTATATGTGCAGGTAATGTTATTGAACGTTTGCCTCGTGTGACTGTATGTTTGATTAGTATGTTTGATTTGTATGTCTGTTTGTATGTCTGTTTGTTTGTTTGTTTGTATGTTTGTTCGTTCGTTTGTTCAATGACCTACCTACAAAGCAATCAAGGCATGAATCTTAGTGTCAATAAATAAATGTATCCTGATGAATTTTAAGCACTGAAATGTTAGTATTAAAAATTAATTCAATTTACTACGTTCCACTCTTTCTCTTTCTCTCTCTCTCTCTCTCTCTCTCTTTCTCTTTCTTATTCTTTATATGTTGTTGGTGTTATTTTTGTAGAACAGTACCATTATTGTTGTTGTTGCTGTTGTTGACGTTGCGTGTTAAAGAACTTGCTTGCATCTTAAGTCAATGACTTGATTACAAATTTATAAACCTTTAATGAATGAATAAATAAATATACATTTAAAATAATTATAACAATAAAATAATTATTATAATTATGTTATATTATAATAATAAAAATAATAATTATTATTATATGTATTTCAGATGAAAAGTTATTTTTTCGTTGATGCATATCGATTTGTCTGATTGTATCATACAATCCCAGATGTGTTGTTGTTGTTGTTATTGTATTACTGTCATGAGTGTTATTGTCACGAAATGGAATGATGGCGACGACGACGATGATGATGATGATGATATGAATATGACAAACTGTTTAAAAAAATTGTTTTCAGACAACACCAACAACAACTTCAACCGCATTATCAACTTCAACAACAACTCCAACAACGACGTCAACAACAAACTCCACAGAACGACGAAAACTTCTACTAAAACTTTCTTACAACCACTTGAAGGGTGACGTCACTTTTGACGTCATGAGAGGAAACAACGAGGAAGCTGATTGGCTAGAAGGTTTCGTAAACTATAAACACGATGATAATTTATTATTACCAGTAAGTAATAATACTACTGTTACTACTGCTGTTACTACTACTACTACTGCTACTACTGCTACTACTACTACTAATACTACTACTACTACTACTAATACTACTACTACTACTAATAATAATACAATGATACATGAAACAATGTTAATAACAATAAAGGTGAGGACCTATGTACGTACGTAAGACTCGTGCTAATTGGTCAGAATAAGGACGTACTGACACAGTTTGAAACGTCAAAGGTCAAAGGTCAGTGACTCAAAAACCACACACACACACAAACACAAACACACGTAACGTAACATGCGTTATATTTTAGCATCTTGAAACTTATTAATTATCGTAATTATGAAAATTATTTCAATTATTTATTTAGGATCGGTGACGGTATTCAACGAAGCATTCCATTTCAACGTTCCTCTATTCCAGTTGGACGCCATGACACTTCTGGTTGGCGCGTTCGTAGACAAGATGGCGGTGCCCGCCGATCTGAAAAGGAAGAAGAAATGCAAAGTTTTGATTGGCTGGCTGGCTTTTGGTCAGTTTGGTGATTCTTTTTTTTCTCACATTTTATTCATTCCGCTTTTAAAAAATGAATGAAATAACGAAAGAACGAACGAACGAAAGAACCATTAAAACAATGAATGAGTAAATGAACAAACGAACGAACAACAACAACAACAACAATAATAATAATAACTTTTTCTTGGCGCAGGATCCAGCGTGGATGATGAGATGTGCAAGGAGAGTTGGATGGAGCTGGGGCGGAAGCAGGACGACGTAGGTGGTGGTGGTGGTGGTGGTGAGGGTGCTACAACGTGGTACAAATTAATGAGACCCTTGTGATGACTATGGTGGTGGTGGTGCTGGTTGTGATGGTGATGATGATTTTTATGGGGATGAAGATGGTGATAATGATGGCGATGACAATTTCTGTGTCTTAGTATGTTCATTTATTGTTTGATAATAAATGAACATAAATGAACATTTATTATCAAACATATATGTTTGATAATAAATGAAATCAAACATGAACTCATTTCATTGTTCATTTTTTCCTTACTCTCTCTCTCTCTTCATTTCTTTTTTTTACTTTTCTTCTTTCTATCTCTCTTTTTCCTTCTCTCTCTCTCTTTTTCTCTCTCTCTCTCTCTCTCTCTCTCTCTTTCTCTCTTTCCACCGTGGATAAAAAATCATTTACGTTCGATTGATGACAATTGAAGAAACGTTGCTGGAGTTAATGAATGATTGAATGAATGAATGATGAATGAATGAATGAATAAATGAATAAACAAATGAGTGAAAGAATGAATGAGTGAATGATTGAATATATTCTAAAGAAAAGCGTTAGATGAATTGAATGAGCCTATGTTCATAAAAATCATTTTATTGATTAGAAAAAGCATTTTTTAATCCGGAGTAATTATTGTAAAAGGCAAAATAAAAATTGATTTTTTGTTCGTTCACCACCATCATCATCATCGTCATCATCATCACCATCATCATTATCATCATCGTCATCATCGTCGTCGTTTCTATGTTTTTCGATGACGTCATAAAGCGAAGCATTAAACAAATAAACAAACAGACTTGTTTAAAATGAAAAAATTTAATTTTTCAAGTAGATAAACGTTCCACTATCTAATAAATTCTCTCTTTCACTCTCTCTCTCTCTTTCTCTCTTTCTTTTTCTGACTCTCATTCTCTGTCTCTCTTTCTCTCTTTATATACATATATATATATAATAAACAATGTTATTGATAATAATTATCACTGCATTGAAATAGGAAGTTGAAAATTCAAGTAGTTACGTCATCTTTCGCTTTCTCGTTAGTGACGTCATTACTATTTACACTCTTCACATCAAAATATTTACCGCCAGAACGACAAAAAAACCCACAAAAACCGCTTCAAACTTTCCCGCCAAAAAAACAACTGCCGAATTCATTTTGTAGCACTTCATCGCGACCTGAACGTTACCGACGTTGTTGCAGTAATCGCCGCCGCTACAACAAAAGTTGCAATTGTTGTTGTTGTTGTTGTTGGGACATTGATTGGCTGATCCGCAGGCATATGTTGTTGTATTTGTCGTTGTAGCAAAGCTGTACTGTATGCAGGAAAATTATCATCAAGAATTACATTTTTTTTGTAGTAGCAGCAGTTGTAGTAGTAGCAACAGCAGTAGTGGTTTAGTAGTAGTAGTAGTAGTAGTAGTAGTAGTAGTAGTAGTAGTAGTAGTTGCTGTAGTAGTAGTAGTATTAGTAGTAGCTGCAGTAATAGTACGCAGTAGATATTTTCAATAATTTTCCTCATTTAGTGATAAGTCATCTTATACCTAACAGTTTAATATACAATGTGCAAATAAAAATACTTACTAATTAATGAGAAATACCTAAATACACACCTAAATAATTCCAAATACCTACATAATGTATTGTCGTTGAACCTATACCTACGTGTCAGGATTGTCTTTATTTATCATGGAAGAATTAAACTGAGAGACACAAAGAGACACAATTCATAACATTACTTACTAGGCATGTCGTTGATGAGCATGTCCCATTGTTATTGTTGTTGGTGGTGGTGTTGGTGGTGCTGCTTCTGCCGCTACTACAGTTACTACACACGCACATGATTGTTGGTAACTGGAGTCGTTCGTTTTATGAATTTTTTTGAGTTCGAGTAAATCATTTTTCAAAATTTTCAATGAATTAAGTCATCATAAAAAAAAATGAAACTTACTGATTAGCCATGTATAGTAGCACCAACAATACTAACTTTAAAACCAGTAGTAACTGCAGTAGTAGCAACAAACGCCGCAGTGGTAACGTTACTTACTACAGTAGTAACAGTATCTGTAGCCATTGTAGTATTATTGGTTGTAGTAACACTATTTGAAAATTTTGCCGCGATTGAAGCAGTAGCAGTTGTAGTTGTTGCAATAACTGTGGTATCAGCAGCTGTCGCAGCTGTCGTTGCTTGCGTAGCTGCGCTTGTTGCTGTTGTCGTTGCTTCTGTTGCCTCTTGGCTAGGAGATGGAAAGGAGATGATGAGGAGGAGAAAGAAGATGATGGATGGTGTCGATGAAAATGTTGATTTTGGTGGTTTAAGACCCATTTTCAAGAGAATTTTCTCAGCAAAACTTGTTTCAAAACCTGAAAAGGTATCTTTATTTTTCGTAAAAATTTTTATTACTATTTTAACTTCGTCAATGATTTCAGAAAATAAAAACTACACATAGCCATTCCTAGACTAATAGGTACATCAAAATACGTGATAAAAAATACACAGAAATGCAATAAAATACAAAACATACAACAAAGCACGTCAAATAATACCAGGTGAAAATGAAAAATATACAAACATTGGTAAAAACTCTAAAGTGATATACAAAAATATACAAAGATATACAAAGACATACAGAGATATACAAAGATAAACAAAGCAAAAATATACAAAAGATACATAACCTTATCGTGTGAAAAAAATTGTAATGAAAATTTCCTATATAAACGAAGAGTAGCAGGGAAAAAGAATGACGATGAGGATGACTATGACGATGTTTTTGCTGATGAAGATGACGACTACGATGATAATTATGACAACGGCGTCTATTCAAGCGTATGACACATACACACACACACACACATACACACACATACACAAACATATATATATATATATACAATTACATATATACAGAAAAAATGCGTTTGTAGTATCGATTAATGATTCAATGCTCACTAAATCAATTAGCCATTTATTATTATTATTATTATTATTACTATTACTACTACTACTACCAGTGTTGTTGTTGTTATTATTATTATTACTACTACTACTACCATTGTTGTTGTTGTTGTTGTTGTTGTTGTTGTTGTTGTTGTTGTTGTTGTTGTTGTTGTTGTTGTTGTTGTTGTTGTTGTTGTTGTTGTTGATTTAATTACATGCCAGCTATTGATTCGGACACGTGGAAACAGCCAATCTCGACGTCATAATCATAATAATAATAATCATTATTATTATTATTATTATTGTTATTATTATTATTATGATCATAATAATTGTAATAATAATAATAACAACAACAATATTAATCCAATTATTATTAAGACGTGACTGTTTATCAATCGACCAATGAATGCTGCTGGTTGTATTTTATTTTTAAGATAAATAACTTAATGATGAAAAATAAAAGAGTTTATTATTATTATTAAAATTATTATTATTATTATTATTATACTGCAAAATAATAAAGTGAAAATAATCTATCCGTCCGCCATTCGTTCATTCATTTCTCTATTTGACATGTTAACCAGAGAATGGAAAATTCTTTTTAGTTTCTGTGCATGTATGTTTGTGTGTATGTATGTACGTGTTTGTGTATGTGTGTGTGCAAGTGTGTGGTTGTGTGTTTAAGTGTGTATGTGTGTCTGTGTATCAAATGTAATAACATTCAACAACATCAGTAGCAGCAGCAACAACAACAACCTTATATCTAAGATAATCTCCAAGATAATTCTGTTTTTCTTCTTTTCCCATAGGCCTGTAGATGAACAAACGAACGAACAAATGAACAAATGGACGAACGAACGAACGAACAAACGAACGAACGAGTGAATGAATAGATGGATGGGCAGATAAATGAATACATGAAAAAAATATTAACCTTCCATTAACTTTTTCAAAATCATTTTCAAGAGATTTCAATTTCTTTCCTAGTTTAATTTTCTCATTCAACAATTTTTCTGACTGGGCGTCAGTTAGTAGGTATATTTGTTGCTTTTGTTGTTGTTGCTGCTGATGGCGATGTAGATATAGATGTCTATTCAATTGTTCGCATTGTTGTTGTTCTTGTGGCTGCTGTCGTCGTCGCTTTTGATGCGGTGGTTGCAGATGTTGTCGCGAGTGATAGCTTCTGGGAAAGATTTGTTGTTGTTGTTGTTGTTGTTGGTTGTTTAGAGGTTCAGGCTGATGTTGTTGACGTTTTTGCTGATGATGTTGTTGCAGATGTTGTTGTTTCGTTGCTTCAACTGAGAGCCTTTCACGCAGACAACTTGTCGATGATTCAAGACCTCGATGTTTTGGCGACCGTTGCAATAATTGTTGTTGTTGTAGTTGTATTTGTTGACTATACTTACGCGATAGTTGAAGACGTTGTTTGTAAGATTCGTTGAATAAGCTATCATTGCTTGAGACTACACCCAATAGTTCATCAGTCTCTTGTTGTTGTTGTTGATGATGTCGTTGATGTTGTTTTTCTTTCATGTTTTCTTGCGATTGTTGTTCAAATTGTTGCTCTGATTGTTGCTGTTCAGATCGATAGGGCGAAATAGATTTTTGTCGTTTTTGTTGTTGTTGTTGTTGTTGTTGATGTACCTCTTTGTTGTCGATTGACAAACGTCGTAACGGTGAGAGTGATTTGTGTCTTTGAAATTGTTGTGGCTGTCGTTTTTGAGGCTGCTGTCGCGAATGCTGAAGCGGTTGTGGTTGTTGTTGCAGCCGTTGTGGCTGTTGTGATTGTGGTTGTTGTGGTTTAGTAGCTTGAAAAGAAACAGAGCAAGGAGTAGTTCTCATGGGCGAAACCCGCAACTTTAAAAGCTGTATCTGATTACTTTCCAGCTGCATTTCAATATCGAAAATATTTTGCTTCTCTTCTGATTCTTCTAACTTCTGCTGCTGTTGTTGTTGTTGTTTGTACAACAAAAATTGTTTTAACTCTAGCTGGTGTTGTTGTTTTTGGAGCTGGTAGAGTTTGTACGTTATCTGCGCTGGGATGTTGGAGAGGAGGTTGATGTCGTAACCGAGGTAACGATCCAGAACTCTGCGGTGTCTTCCTAATTGTT